CTCAAATGAATGAATGGTTGTTATTTTTCTATTCCATTAAAGTGAATTAATGTGACATTTAGATGGAGAACTAATTTTTTTCATAAGAACTAAATCTTATTGGATTTCAACAGTAAATCGAAGCATATAAGTGTGGGAAAATAAATTTTAGCATTGGAGTGAAAATTGACATGTGTTCTTAAAGCTTAGATGTAAATAAGGAGCACTCTAGAAAGTGGTTAATAACTCGATTTTAATATTATAATTGAAGATGTTTTTATATTCTATTTTATTTACATTCTTTTTTAAGCTATTAAAAATAAAGGTTTAATTACATTTTTTTATTCAAATAATTTTATAAATTTTACTTTTTAATTTTTATAATTAATTTTTCTCATTTTTAATTCTTATGCATGTCATTTTTTTAACTTTTAACCTTTATAGCGACATAAACATCTCCTTTTAGTTTTTTTTTTTATAGTTTTATAAATGAATCCTAGGGGGTTAACCTAAACAAGTGGTTTATCATACTCAACTGTAACGTAGTGAGTAGATTTCAGAGTTTAGTTGACTCTAGAGAAAATAGTATATAGGATTTCTCTGAGAAGGGAACTTCATAAGTTCATTCTCAAAGAAAATTAGATAGAAGTTTTAGAGAGAAGGACTCTGGGTCTGTGAGCTCCTTTCTCTCCCAAATTTATCTGTTTGATTCCTTTTCTCTTCTAGATTACTAATCTCTTCTGTCTTCTCTTGAAATTTAGGCTAGGAAGCTTGCTATTGGTGGATTGAAGTTCGCGAGTCGAGCTTTGAGAGAATTTCTTCTTCTCTGTTCTTGGAGATTCTAAGCTAATTTTTTAGGTGAAGGAAGCTAAAATGTAGATTGATTGGGTGCATGTGAGTTTATGAACTCAATGGGGGCACGAATCTTGGGAATCAATGGCTGAATTGAAGGATTTCTCATTTTTCACGGCTTTTGCGAAAAATTGGATTTTTGGTGATTTTGATGCGTCTCGTAGATCCATATTGAATTAGAGGTTGTTTTCTAGTTGTATGGAGTCTATGTGTTTCAATTCTTGGATTGCATGTGGTTGGATTTCCTGATTTTCAAGTATTCGAGGCGAAATTCTAAGTTTTGGGAGGTTGCTATATGAATTTGCGTCAGGCGCATGTTCTTGGCGCCGAGCGTGCATTCATCAGAGAAACCATTTATTGATCACGCCGGGCACGAGGTTAGTCGCGTCGGGTGCGATTGTAAATGAGAGTCTTTGGATGAATTCGCGCCAAGCGTGAGGAGAACCACGCCGGGCGTGATATCAAATAGTGGCTTGGTGGGTGTTTTACTGATAAGGCATCGGGCCCAGGGTAAGCGCCGGGTGTGGAGACCTCTGGAGGTCTCTGTCTGGATGGCGTCGGGCGTAGGGTGGGTGCGCCGGGAGTGGAGACTCCTATGAGTCTCTACTTCAAGGACGCTGGGCATGGGGATTTCACGCTGGGCGTGGATGAGATTTTGGACTCTCGGGTTGGGTTTAGGCCGGGCACAAGCTGATCGTGTCGGGCATGGAAGAGCTTAGGGGTCTCAGGTAGAGCTGTCAAAGTGGGCCGGGACCTGTGGGCCAACCCGACCCACCTTGAAAACGGGCCGGGCCAGGCAAAAAAAATTTGAAGTTTTATAGTAGGTGGGTATATCTCAACCTGGCCCACTTTCATCCCGGCCCACCCGGGCTAAACCCGTGGTAGGCCGGGTAGCCCACCAACCCACCATTTTTTTTTGCAATAAAAATTTAAGTATGATTTGTAATTAATTTTGTATGATGGGATATTGAAAATTTTTATTTTAGACTTTTATCATGATTTGCATTTAATTTTGTAAGATGAATTATGATTTATGACTATTAATTATGCTAATTTATGACTATTATGTTAATTTATAATTAATTTAAAATTTAAAATTTTGTTGATATTTTTTATTTTTTAATTTTTGGTGGGCTGGTGGGCTGGCCCGTATAACCCACCAACCCGTGGTGGGCCGGGCTGGGCCAATTTTTTTTTGAGAAAATTAAAAGTGGGCCGGGTTGGGTTGGCTCGTTTTTAAAGTGGGTCAAGGTGGGCCGGTCCATGTGGGCCGGGTTGGCCCGTTTTGACAGCTCTAGTCTCAGGTTGGATGTTAGGCCGGGCGTGAGTGGGCTGCGCCGGGCGTGAATGTACTTGATGTTTTTGATTGAAAATTATGTTTATGCATGTTTAAAGTTGAAGATTTGATCATGTATGGATGATATATGATGTATGATTCATATGTATGCTTGATAATGGCATGTATGAATGTTTAAATATGATATGACATGTGTATATGTTCATATGAGGATGATATTGATCATGATGGTGGATTAACCATGTGTGATGTATGATGCATTATTGTTGATGCCTTATGGCATGTGTCTAGCCTAGGACTTAAGAAGAGGGAAATATTTTTGAACTAGAAGAACTCACATAGAATTTCTTGAGAGTGGTGCTTGGATAGACCAGTAATATAAATGAGAGTGGTGTTTAGATAGGCCCTTGTTTTGGGTGAGAGTGGTTCTTGAATAAGCTACTGGTTTGGGTGAGTCTCCTCTAAGTCCCTAGCTAGTGTTGGAGCGGGGTATGAGATTGAAGGTTATTCCCTTAACCAAGTATTGGGGAAGGTGCGTGGTTCTTTGCGGATAGTCGGTGGGCGAACTCCACAAGTGACTTGGTAATGCATGCCAAGGTCGTGGTAAACCTATACGCAGCTGTGCTATACCTGACGGTGAAACCAGACTTCCAATTGTGTAAGTGACATCATCCGAGTAAACCCGAGTGATGATTTATATCCTGTTTAGCTGTGACCAAGCGGGGGTATTGGACGTGAAAACAGTTGGGGTGATTTTGGTAGGATTGGGATGTCACTTATACTGCTCTACTGTTAGGGAAATCTCTTAGGTGTATGCGTGACGACGCATTAGATGATAGATATGCATTGATATCTTTCATGTGTTGTTTAATTGCATGATTGTTGTTATGATGAAGTGTATGGTATTTGACTTCATGATTTGATGATTTGATAGTTGAGTAGCATAGATATTTTATTATTATGCTTGCATGGTTGTTTATTGAACTCTAGCTTACCCTTCTGTTTCCATGTGGATGGACTGCGATGGGAGCAGGTCAGGGTTAGGTTAGTGTTGGTGGGGCTATTGCTGACGAGATCAGGTGTTTTGTCACAGTGTCGGAGTCAGTTGGAGTGTTGACTAGTCGTGCTTGACCGGTATTAAGGTGATATTATTTGGATGACAGTACATATTTAGTGTTATATTTTGTACATAGAAACATAATTTTATTTTATATATATATATATATATATATATATATATATATATATAATATATATATATATATATATATATATATATATATATATATACCTGTATGTATGAGTTATCTAGTTTTAATATTTCTCTTTGTTCACTATTAGTAGTGCGATTTTACTGAGTGTAGGGACCATGGCGGGTCGTTACACAACAATTAACATTCGTTATATTAAAATCAATAACATAAACTCTACACCAAATCATTACTTTCTATTCACTTCATTTGACCATTGACCAACTTTGCCCGCAACCATATCTGTCACCACCATTTTCGTGATTGTATTTACTATCATTGCAACCTTATTAAGGCTACATGAGACTAAGAACAAACAAACCAGAGATTGAGTAGAGGCATGAATCTGAATCTAAAAGAGAAAAAAAATGGTGGGATAGTTTGCTTTGTCTATAATTATGTCGTAGTTACCACTCACAAGACCAAGTTGCGGTCCACAATTGTGTGGCCACATTGTGGTCCGCACTTGCACAACCATGTTGCACCTTTGTGTTGCCATCCACCTTTGTGCCTCCACTGTGATTTGTAGTTGCATGCCTTCGCACCCATTGTGTGTCCATGCAACTTTGTGATTTGCATTCTCTCACTTTTGTTGCAAGTGGTATACACTTGATTCATTTGTTTGCATCTATCGCTACATGCAATCTTCACTTGTGTTGTCTTGTCTTGTCTCCTTTGCATCAAACCTACGAAACAAAAACCAGACCCAAAGAGGGAAAGGGAAAAAATGGTGCCATCGTTAAAAATTTTCTCTCACGACGTTGCATGGTGGAGAATAGTCTCTATTCTAGTATGTTTAAATGTAGTTTATTAATACCTCTTTCCTTATCCCATTAAAACGTCTTTTAAAGGACAAAATTGAAGTGGTTCAACGAGTACTAAAGCAGACAATACCTCATATACGATGATTCTAATAACATCAGCAAACTTTCAGTCAAAACAATTTCCAACATAGACACCAGTGATCATGTGAAAATGAGATTGCTAAGATGTAGTGAGAATGGTGCCCCCTAATACGCTGAGTCTCATATTAATTTAAAAGATAAAATTAGTGGAGCATGGTGGTTCACTTATAAAGATGGACCACCTTAATCTCTGTCAATTTTGTAAATTCATTTTTTTAGTTTTATAGTTACATAATTTTTTTTATTTCCTATAAAAATAGATAATAAAAACTAATAAATAATAAAAAATAGTATGTGTAAAAACTAAACCAATATGTCTTAACTATAAAAATTAAAAGATAAAATTTATAAAACTATAAAAACCAAATGATAATTAAACTTTAAAAAAAATATTGTTTAAATTAAAGGAACATCTGCTGATTCTGAATTTCTTATTATAAGTTTATTTTATATCAATAAAAATGTTCCAATATAAGACTTTGTGGACAATAACCAAAATTTCATAATTTTTTAAAATTAAATTCATTTTTAATTATTAAATTTTTGTCAATTTTTATTTTGATTTATGAATATTTTATTTACTAGTTTTAGCTTTTAAATTTTGATTCATTTTCAGTTTTAATAACTAAATTTTTCTGAAACGTGAAGATATTTTTGTCATAAAAACAATTTTAAAAATAAAAAAATAAAAAAATGTGTTGACATATAATTATTTTAATTTGGGGAGTTGGAATAAGAAGGCGTGGTTTTGGAGTAGCAAAAGAAGCAACGATGGGAAACACGTTCTGCCTCTTCTGTGGTTGCGTCGGTCAATCCAGCGTCGGCGTCGTCGAACAGTGGGGTCGCTTCCACCGCCTCGCCCAACCAGGCTTCCACCTCTTCAACCCCCTCGCCGGCGAATGCCTCGCCGGAATCCTCTCCACCAGGATCTCCTCCCTCGACGTCCGCATCGAAACCAAAACCAAGGTCCCTAACCTAACCTATTCAATTTCTCAATTTTTTTTTTTTTTTTTTTTTCCTTTTTAATATGAACGTTGATGGACAATAGAGGAATACAAGTTGATTTTAATTTCGAATTGCGGTGCAGGACAATGTGTTTGTGCAGTTGCTGTGTTCAATTCAATACCGAGTCATTAAGGAAAACGCGGACGATGCTTTCTACGAGTTGCAAAACCCTCAGGAGCAGATCCAGGCTTATGTTTTTGATGGTTCTGCTTCTTTAACGCTTCTTTTTTCTATACGCATGCATGTCAATTCATTGTTTTAATTATGTGGTTTGGTGTTTCAGTCACGCGTGCGATTGTTCCCAGAATGAACTTGGATCAGCTATTTGAGCAGAAGGGTGAGGTTGCCAAAGCTGTATTGGAGGAGCTTGAAAAGGTTAACATACTTCTTTTGTTTATGTAGTTCATGGCTATTCTATTGAAAAAAGTGAGTGACTTATTTTGTATGCGAATTGGACTATCTTAATCATTGGATCAGAAGTAATTTAGATAAAACTCATCAATCGCCAAGATGAGAGAAGGAAATACGTGGCAAGCTTTGTTTATACTGTCGATTCCTTGGTTGTATGTACGGAAAATATTTAATTAGAAGAGACTAAACCTACTTTTGTGATCTCTATACTTTGAAAGTAATTATTTTCCAACTATCAATTGGAAGATATCCCCGCTGCACACAAAAATACGAAAAAAAAAATAAAAGTTTTGGCCATTTTTAATGAAATATGTAAAAACTGGCTGGTGAAGAGAACCATAGTTGTTTGTGACGTATAAAATTATTTCTTTTCCTTTTAAAACTATAAATTGCTGGTTTGATAAATGAAACTATGAGAGTTTATGTTTAAGCATCTGTTTTGAAATATGATATAACTGTAAGATTGTTCACATATGCTTGATTATTTATCTGCGTACTGATGTCTTTATCTCCTGAGTTTCTGTATCAGGTGATGGGAGAATATGGATATAGTATAGAGCACATACTCATGGTTGATATTATACCTGATCCTGCTGTGCGTAAGGCAATGAATGAGATCAATGCAGGTAATACTACTACTCCATAGTTTTCAGAGCCCTTTTTTTATGGAAATATCAAGCAGTGACATGTATGTATTTATATCATAGTTTCTCCCTTGGAAAATACTCCTCTTAGGTGAGTTTGTCTATAAAAGTGATCAAGAGCCTTTGAATTTGATGGAAATAGATAGGATGGAATAAATTGGGAAATAATAAAATAAAACCTCCGTTTCATTGTTTGAAGATGTTATGATGAAATAGATCAAAATTCTCTAGTTTAAAAGGAGTTGTTATGATGGAATAGCACATACATGTTCCATCTTATACCTCCCGAATTGTGGGGAAAGAAAAATGAAAAGATAAATAATGAAATAAGATGAAATAAATTTTACTAGTTTTCATTATATTCCACCTTCATTTTATCAATTCAAACAATGAAAATATGGAACATAGAAGAGTGTTAGCAACGCACACTTCTTAACACACTCTCTTACTAGTTAAAATTATGATAGAGATTCATTAAATAAGATATGAGAGCCACCAAATTTTGTATTTCAATAAATCTCAACCAATAAGAGGTGTGTTCAAAATAGCATGTCAGAGAATATATTACTAGTATTTCTCATGGAGCGTTATACCATTATATTCCATTTCCGTTCATTCCATTCTTTTTCACCAATCCAAACATTACTGGGTTTAGATTTTGATACACTTTATTGCATGCAATAGTATTTATTGAGGATTTATTATATTTTTACAGCGCAAAGGATGCAACTTGCTAGCGAGTACAAAGGAGAAGCTGAAAAGGTGTTGCTAGTTAAAAAAGCAGAGGCTGAAGCCGAAGCCAAGTATTTGGGTGGGGTTGGTGTGGCCAGGCAGCGACAGGCTATCACAGATGGCTTGAGAGAGAACATCCTCAACTTCTCTCACAAGGTAGAGGGCACTAACGCTAAGGAGGTGATGGATCTTATCATGATTACTCAGTACTTTGACACAATCAAAGACCTTGGGAACTCATCAAAGAACACCACTGTTTTTATACCCCATGGACCTGGCCACGTCAGGGATATTGGTGAGCAGATACGCAATGGACTGATGGAAGCATCTAGTGCTCAAGTAAATATGGAGGAGTGATTTTGTAAAGTTTGCCTTAGAAAGTATCTCTGTCTAACAATCACACACACAATAATACTCGTGTATTTAATATGTTTATGCTTAATTTTGAAGAAAAGTTTTGATCAGTTGGAATTTATAAAATAAGATGCTTTTCAGTTGTATTGTGATGGAAACAGTCAGTACTGAGTGCTCTAGTAAATATGGTGTGATTTTATAATATTGCCTCCGAAAGTATATCTATCTCAGTCTTACACGTACATAATGGTATTATAGTGGTATAACTCGTGTATGTGATATTTCTGCTTAATTTTGTAGAAGAAAAGTTTTGATTAGTTGGAAGCTGTAAGATATTTTTCAGTCGTATTATATAATCTTTAGAAATTCAATGACATGCAATCTGATTTATAGGAATTAAAAAAACAATAAGAATTTTTTATTTTTTGCTTTCCTGTTTTAATATGTATTTAAGCTTGTGGACAAGCCCGCGTAACTTGTGGTGCCCCACATTGTTAAGGTTGGAAAGTGTCTGGTTTCAATATATTATAAGTTGGAAACAGTTTCAGCTTCTATTTTCCAGATTCAGATAAAAATAGAGAGCAAATGAAAGAATATTATTCCTTAAATTAAATGTATTAAACAGTACAGCTTAGGGATGGCAAATATACCCGTACCCGTGGGTAATACCCGAACCCGTTCCGACTTTGACGGGGAATACCCGATTTGACCGGGTACGGGTACGGGTAAAACCCGATATATTGAATCGGGTACGGGTACGGGTATGTACTTACCCGCCCCGTACCCGTACCCGTTCTCATTTTTAATTTAATATTCACTTTTAATTTAATTATATTAAAAAAATTTAATATTTTTTTATGTATGATTATTTATTATAATGTGAGATAAAAAAATAACCTAATTATAATTATAATATAATAAAAAAATAATTTAAAAATATTATTTAAAAAAAAATAAAAAAAAATTGACGGGCACAGGTACGGGTACGGGTATACCTGATACTCGACGGGGACGGGAATGGGGATGAAAATTCATACCCGA